TGATGGAAACTCCTTTCATATCCAAAATCTTCCTTTGTCTAAGGGACTCTTACAATAAATCAGACAAAACACATCATAACGAAAAATTATGTGTTCACATCCACATATTATACACATCAAGAGTGTTCAGTTCTTGCAAAAAAAAAAAAAAGGAAAAAAATCTGGCAATTAGCCAAGAGGAAGCTAACTTCTTGAGTATTGTCTGTGCAGGTGTGAAAGAAATTTTAAATGTGATAAGGGTCTGCAACGAAGGCTTGTGCGTAAATTATTCTTAAGACACCAAAAAATAGTCGTACCTTTATCAAGAAAATTTTGAACGATGTTATCTGGGAAATTTTCAGAAAATTACAGCGACAAAAGAGAAAATATTTCAGGCCATGCGAAGTGATCTTCAGAGTGAAAATTGTATCGACTGATTCTCTTCGCAGTAAAGAAAATTAAAAACCAAAGACAGTTTGCTTGCATAATTACATATCGCATGTACAAGTGTTTAACATTTCGAATGTGCTCCTACAAATGTCTAAAAATTTTAAAAACTATTGTTACTTGAAAACTGATTTGTACTTTATCTAATTTCGACAAAAATTATGGGTGTCTTAACGGGCTACGTGCAAAAAAAACCATTTTTCCCTAAGGTCGCAAAATAAATTTTCTACTTTCAGAAGAACTCATCGCACACGTGGGCAACAGTCGAGAAGAGATTCCATTCGCAATGGATTACAACAATATTTTACTCTTAAGAAAAAGAGGAAATTAGATAACTTTTATAGACCATGTTCAGTGCAGCAATGTCGTTCGCACATCAGAAAACAAATTCTGTTTGGATTCCGCTTGCATGACGTCTAGTGTAAATTTAGAACCGGCCAACAGATGCGTGGACAAGCCTGATCGACTGTCTCTCTCTGGGGCAAGTGCCAACTTTGTACCTCGCAAGCATAACTGTTACTTTCGATTTGCTTAACATATTTTCACTCTGGAAAAACGTTCACCTCGAAAACCGTATGTGTTGCAGGTCGGTGTAGCATCCACTTGAAGGGCGATGACGATGAAAGCAAATAAATTTTCCATGAAATTGACTAAAGCGGTGTACATTTCAGCCTGATCGCCCTACGATCCGAGCTACGCTCAATAAATATTGACCACATGGCATTCGAGGGTCAAAAACATGCTACACAATCCTTTGGCACAAAGCAAAATCTCGGATAAATACTGAATTTTGCAGCGTGAGCGAAGAGCCAAGCCTTAGATACATTTGCCCATAAATTTTCCACACTAAGCGAACATCATTTCAACTTCCAGCCCTACTCTAGCGTTTCATCAATGTACTACGAAAAACTAAAACAAAGTTTTGCCCCGTCAATCTCATGTATATTTGGTTTTCACGCTTCTTAATCGCCAATTGTATTTTAAAAAAATGCTATCCAGACCGAAATCACGACTGAAATCCAGAGTTTTAGTAATTTTTTTATTAAAAAGCTGCAGGATTATCGAAGTTCCCTTTCTTCCGCGGTCATCACATGCTCGTGGTGAATTCAAGAACTCATAACAAATCTGGCGAAGGAAACTGTTGCTGTCGAGTTTCTTGTCATTTTCCGAGCTTTCCTTAAAAGCTACAATTAAAAGCCTCGTTTTCCCTTATCATAGATTGACTATTTGCTTGAAAGTAAATGGTTAATCAACACACCTCTTTTCTAGCGCTTGCATGATTTTCCGGTTCGTCTTCTGACGAGTAGCAACACGAGCACTTGGTCGAATGTGCACGTTTTCGCCTAAAAAAATTGCACAAAACCTCAATCTCAACCACGAAAAAAGCTCAGAAACCCAAAGTAGAAGGTACTCACGTCCTCCTCAAACCAGTGTAACCCTTCTCCATTGCGTGCCAGCTTGAAAAGCCGAGATCTCCGTCGAAAATGAAACTACCAACCCAGACGTCGACATGTTTGTATCAGAGTAAACCCTTTGCGTCAGAGAAATACTATGGGTGTTACTGCGCTTGCGTACATTGGCCATCCCAGTGATTTGTGGGTAACTTTGGCAATATTCCCGCGAAAAAGGGGCCTACCCTGCAAATCGAAGCACTCATCTTTTCTGAATTATTTTCATTTTCTAATTATAAAGTTCGCAGTAATCAGTTACCAGATTTAAACGAAGTACACGAACATATTTTTAACTCATGAAAGCTAAATTGAAAGTAAAGGAAATTGAACACCTATATACTTATAATATTTTAGATATTTCTAAACTTCGCGTTTTCTGTTTTTTTTTTCCTTTTTATTATCATTGATCCACGCTCAAAAGAATCCCTTTTAAACTATTCTTTTTCCTTCTCGTCTGACGTATTTTTAATTTTCCAATTTTCTCATGAATTATAATCGATGAGAGGAACCTTTTTCTTTGAACCCCGTAAACGATTTTTGAATGTCCTTACAATTTCACCCCTGAATCATGAAGTAAGGTCACGAAATAAAGAAAATTATCAGCAGCCAAAGAAGTTACTGATTGTTACACAAATTCTCCTGGTTAGAACCTTAGAGAATGTTTGGGGAATAGTTTGGAGAACAGCTTTACCGATGTTAGGATGTAAGGGGTTAACACCCATCAAGGAGAATTTCTTTCATAATGCGGAGCCTTTTTGTTTGGTGATCGCTTCCTTTATTCTCATTCCAGTATTGTGCGAATCATGGGTGTTACTGTAGGGGGAAATTAGATGCTAGTCACTTCTTAACAGGCCAAAGAGTTAACGAATAAATTTCAAATTATCAGTCGCTAAATTGGTGTCCTAAAGGATATCGTATCATTCGCACTATCCAGTTATTGTTGAAGAAATGTAAAATGGTTTCCGTGTTTACATAGCCTGATGTAAACACGCGGGAGGTTGGGAGAACACGAGATAAGCGTAGGAAACCACGACGCGAAGCGGAGTGGTTTCCTACGCTTATCTCGTGTTCTCCCAACCTCCCAAGTGTTTACATCAGGCTATGTAAACACGGAAACCATCACAGGACGAAATTGCAAGAATCCGTAAACAGAAACGTGGCGGAAACATGCAACTCCATGTTTCCGTTATGTTTACGTAAAAGTGGTCCGGTTCCGTTGTATACGCAGCAACGGAAACGCGAGAAAACGTCACGAAACTGGTAACGGAAACACAGGTTATCCGTCGTGTTTCCAGAACGGTTTAACATGTTTCTGCCACGTTTCCGTTTACGGATTCTTGCAATTTCGTCTTGTGAATTTTACATTTCTTTTATAAAATAACTGATGATAGAGGAACGAAAACCGTGTTTACATACGCTCATGTAAATGGTTTTATGGCCAATCAGAGCGCGCGTACTATTTGATTTATTTTTATAAAATAGCATTCCAGTAAATAAATGAAATTTCTTGTCAGTACACCTAGGTTTGACTTCACTAGTTAAGGTGATTCCTCAGTATTGCACTGCACATCCTGTGCTGCGCATAAAAATGACTCAATTGACCAGGTAAAAAGGTACGACGATTTTCAGCTTTTGAACGAGCACAGTGACCGATATTTTTTATTGCATAATTTTGTTATATAAATTATCCCCTTTAAATTGGGGAAATTAAAAAAAAAATAATGGAAGGGGAAAACCCTTGCTCCCAGCTACTACAAAATGTACCATGAACCGATGACTTGCGGTGAAATGACGGACGTGATTAGTGTCAGTACAGGCATAAATAGGGTAAATTTGGTCTGTCATATCTTTGAAACAAGAACGGTGACCCATCTTTTCGAAACAAACATGGGTAGTTGATTTGTTTGATGACTTTTTTTCTGAGGAATTTCCTTAATCATATATCGATTTGGATTCAAGTTTTTCGGGCCTTATACGACAGAAACAAAGAAATTCAAAGCATTCGGAGTAAATTATATCTTTGAGCCGGGAGCTTTACTCTGCTCGATAGGATCTGGTGACTAGAGAATGGACAATATTATTTACCAGCGTTTTAGCCAACGATGAGGTGAGTACCGGTAATCTTTTAGGAATATACCACACATGAGGATTTGCTTATTTACGTCAACATAGTGAAGCTGGTTGTAAATGGAAATTTTAACGCCTACTTGCTCCTCAAGCTGTTTTTACGGTGAAAAATGATTGATATTCGCATTCAAACTAGCCAATCAGTGCACGTATTCACCTGGGGTCATGAAAAGTAGACGGGGATAATATTCTAAAGAAAATTATCTTAAACCCTTATTATTTAAGATTAATATACTTATCCTCCACACTGTTCTCTTAACATTTTCTTAGATGCTGACAAGGAGAATTTGTTTAACAATCGAGAGCTTCTTTAACCCCCAAGAGTGAATGGCATCCAAGTTCTCATTTCATTCTCATCCCTGAATCACTCATTAAGGTTACAAGAATTATAGAAATGATCACCAACTAAAGAAGCTCTTGATTGTTAAACAAATTCTCCCCGTCATCACCTAAGGAAATATGAAGAGAGCAGTATGGAGAATATGCATACTGATGTTATGTTGTTAAGAGTTAGGTTGGTGATTGTTTCCTTTATTCTTGCAACCTTACTGTTTGACTTGGGTGTGAAACATGAAGAGGAAATTTGATGCCAAGAGCTCTTAGGGTGCAAATGTTAGAGAAAAAAAAAAAAAAGATCAAGGGAAGTCAAGGGTAGCAAATTCATGCACTTTGTTCAATCATGAAACAGAAATACATCAGGATCATTTTCAACTGTAATTTAATGATTAACCTAACATCAGTATGAATATTCTCCAAACTGTTCTCTGAACACTTCATTAGATGCTGACAAGGAGATTTTGTTTAACAATCACGAGCTTCCTCTGTTGGTCACTTTCTCCATTTCATCCTTGTGAACTTAATGTTTGACTTAGCGTGTGATAATGTAAAAAGAAATCAGAGGTGGTAGAGTTGAGAAGCAAAACAAGAGAGAAATCAGGGTATGTAAACAGTAAAGAAATGCATATATTCACTATAAAGAACAGAGATACACCAGGATCATTTTAACGACACTTTTAATAAATGATCAACTTACACTTGTCTTCATTTCTTCAAATTAAAGCATTTGTGTCGCAAAATACATCACTTGGATATTATCAAAGATACATACACAAATATTGTGATACTTGATTGAAATCAATCGTCATTATTTCATGCCATGCTGCGCTTTCAATTAAGAGATTTAATTATCAAAGATACATATACACAAATATTGTGGTGCTTGTTAAAATCAATAGTCATTATTTCATGCCATGCTGTGCTTTCAATTACAAGAGTTAAATAGTACAATCAGGTAAAATTTGAAGCTGGTTTCAAAGGTTTCTCTGCTGGACATGGAAGTTAGCTTTCATGCAAAAGCTCCCTTTTTCAGATTTGTCTTACCATATATTTAAAAAAAATAAATATTTTAAAAATGATTACAACATGTACACATCAATAAAAAAATTACATCTTATGTTGTCAGTGTACACGAAAATAGATAATAATATATTTAAACGTATAAAAGATGTTGTAAACAATGGAAAGTCAAACTTGAGCCTTTTTACTAACCAAAGCTGTCAGTTCTGCTTTCTTTTTCAGAAAAAGGTACAGCTTTTGTAAAAGTCTGTTTAAGTCTACAATCATTAGTAACTTCCCATCAAAACTATTCATACAAAATGAAATTTCTAAAGCAGCGGCAGAAAAGGTTCTGATGCAGTATTTGGTCTGGGGTTTGATGGAACCAACACTGGCTGACAGTGAAACATATTAAAAACAAGCAAAGCAGAGAGAGCATTTAGATCTTCATAAACATAATGAAATTTCTACAGCATAAAAGTTTCTAATGAAGTATCATGTCAATAAAAGTTTTCGTCACTATGATGTATGAATGTCATGAGATGGCTGATACCTTTCAGTTCTCAAACCCCCTTCAACCCTTTCCTAAATTATCCCTTCCACTCAGGAAGATTAAAGTATATAAAAATTAACCCACAAATTTAAAGCTGTCTAAGAGCTGTAAAAATATCTGTATCATGTGCAAGTTAAGAATCAAATTAATCTGATTTGATGTTGTTTAAATGATACACTTGTCACCAAGATCTTGGTTTGAATCCAAGCCTGCAACATAGCAGGGTTTACTCAAAGTTTTTCAAGGGAATATTTGCTCAGGATGTGCATGATGATGTGCACTGGGAAAGCTGTCTGATGCAGAAGGTAGCTCAATTTAGTTTTCTCGAGAACGTCTCATCCTTGGAGGTAGCCTCTTGTTGATTTTTTGTGGAGGACATGGAGCCTGAAATGAACAAAAACATATGATTGCCAAGGTCATAGGATTTTAAGATCCCTTGACTTTTCCCTGAATTTATAATTTTACAATCTTATGCTCTTAGCATTTAACCCTTTAACCCCTAAAAGTGATTAGTACCTAATTTCTCTCACAATATCATCCCTGAATCACACATTTAGGTCACAAGAATAAAGGAAATTATCACCAACTAAAGAGGGGCTTTATTGCTAAACAAATTCTCCTTGTCAGCACCCCAGGAAATGTATAGAGCACAGTATGGAGAGTTTGCATACTGATGTTTGGGTGTAAAGCATCAAGTTTTTTTTATTCTAACTGCTGATTTTGAGATAGCAAACTGCTGCTTAAGTTTAGTACAAGTAAAGTTAATTATATTTCAAGGTATACTTTACACCTTGTGCTTTCTTTGAATATTTTCCAACTGGGAAAATTCATATGCCACAGGAACCATGCACTCTCTACACACATGCTCAGAGTAAAGAAATACACACCTTAGATACTTCATATTTTCACAAGTGGCATCTCAATTGATGGCTATACAGTCAAACATCTCACTCTTTGGCAACAAAGTAACTCAAAATCTCTGTCTACTGCACTTATGAGATTGAAATCAAACTGAGTACCTACTTGCGGAATGTTCTGCACATTAGGTATTTGTTGCTGGTAGAACATCAGTGGAGGCTGCTCTTCTGTAGAAAAACAAAACCGACCAAAATGTATAGAGGAGAACTCAATTGAATTGAAAAATGTAGGCAATGCATGAAACAAACAACAAAACTTACCATAGACATACATATATCCCCCAGGTTGAGGGAGTGGATAGGAAACCTGGTGACAAAAGAGAGGAAAATTATCAAACAGAATTTAACATTTTACAATCACCTGAACAATCTCCTTAGTACAAAGTTAGCATATTTATGAATTATTCAATGAATAGTGGGTAGATATTGTCAAAACTATCCTGAAGACAAAGTCCGAGACGTTATTTAGCAATACTGGTTGTGAGAGGCAAAAAAGGATAAAGGATATATGGAATAAAGTTCTAAGTGACTTTTAATGCAACATCTTAAATTCTCTGTGTCACAACATTTTACAAGACAATTTGAAAGGAGTCTTTAGCTATCACGAGTACTTGTTCGGAGCTTTTTCCATGAAATCCAATTACTTAATTATCATGCACCTTATGTTTTCAAGTCAGTGTTTTCAGTGTTATTAATCACCTTGCAAAGGTTATTTTTTTTTAATTTTTGCAAGATATGGCATACTTTTCAACCAATAAGAGAGTGTATATCTCTAGAATTATTTTACAATATTAACAAATATGGCTCATCAATTATTTACAAATTAGCTCCACGGCCGTAAGCAGTACAAGTCCTCACCTGACATGGGTGTTGATATGTATACTGAAAGAAATTACAGAAGTATAAAATGTCAGAAAATTTTGTAAAAACAGTGTCACAAGCCCAAGGGTATCATAACATTAAAAAAGAAAAACCACCACATATCTCTCCAATGTTCAGCTTTTGAAGAATTATGAACCAGTAGCTGGTATTTCATTATACTGCGAGATAAAACAGCCCAATGACCAGTTGTGCTGGACTCAGAGCTGAGAGGTATGGCTTAACCCTTAACTACCAAGATGAGATCATTAATTCTCCCCTCAGGCTGCGATTTCCTTTTAACTTTCTACAAGAATTTGGTGTTAGATCAGGAGACCAACCTCTACCTGACAAGCTTGAATATCCTAGTTAGTTACCAGGACATTGCTTGACAAACACTCAAGGGGCTTGCTTCTCCGAGGTCCCAGTAACTAAATGGGCCTGTAAAACTGTTCCATTTTGATTCAAGATGGGGTTTTTCAAATTTAAAGTTTTCAAATAATACAACTGAAACATTGGCTTATGGAACAAATTGTACCTATTCTTTAAATTTTGATATTAAAAATTTGATTTTAAATTTGGCATCAGGCTCATAATAATGAATAAGGGACATTTGAGAAACAGGCCCCAAGTCAGGTTATTGTATGGTTCTTAGCCATTAAACCCCTGCACTATCACAGAGTCTTTCTCTAGCCAAGAAGCCAGGATTGTAAATCAGTGTAGTGCAACTGTCAGGGAATACTGAACAAATGCTGAGGAACTGCTGGGGGGAGGGGGGGGGAGGAGAGAGAAAGGGAAGTAACCCTATAATGGACTGGCATCCCAATTGGCTAGAAGTAGTAACCTCCTTGTTAAACTTTACGAGACTGAAACTGTGATAGGCTGTGGCATAAGCCAAGTTTTCCAGTAAGTTTTAAAATCCTTACCTGTGGTGCTGGGGACAACTGACCATCAGAGTATGTATATGATGGGACTGGGTAGTAATAGTCTCCTTTCATTTGTGTGCTGACTAGAAAAGAAAAATAAAAATCTTCATTCAGAGATCTAGAACTATCACAGTTTCTTTAGATTTATTGACCAAAGTCAAATAGAATCGCATTCATTTGTTTTGTTTTTTTTTTTTAAACTCCCAAAAAGTAACTGGTAAGGAGAAATCATGCTCCCCTCCCAGCCAAAGAGATGCAAAGCTAAACCAAATCACCAATGAGTTAAGGGTTAAGTTCCTAAAGAAATTGTGGTGCTACATTGATGGGAAAGTATAGCAGGGTAGTTTAGTGTTACCAACTCAGTTGATAGTGTAAATTTGCCACTGCAGAGTTTAAAAGCTGATGTTTCAGTTTATGTTATCAATTTGTGTTATCAATTCAGTTGACAATACTAAATTACCCTGTTAAACCAAATCACCACTTTTGGACTTTCATATTTGTCATATTTCAAGCAATTTGCTTGTGTTTACTTTGGCCTTTTGGTTACTTGTATTAGGTTATCATTTTCCTCCTCTCACTGCTCCATGTTCAACCCCTAAAAATCTCAAGATCTCATTAGTAATTCTCCTTTCTGTCTGCCAAATGACTCATAATTGATATTTTTCTCTATTCTCATCACTTGTCTGCATGATATTGTATAGAATGATATAGAAAGGACAAATTCTGTCTTGGTCACCCACGGGAGTTGAAAGGTTAATACACACCACTGTACAACTGTTATTTAAGAGAGAGGCCAAAAAATCGCTGAGAAACTTTGATAAACCCAAAGAATTTGAATCGAAAAGAATAATATGCAATGAAACACTCACAAGTAGAACAATTCTCATCATATTCCACTTACCCACCACAAGTTCAGGTGATTCAGGAGACATTGGTCCCTGGGAAAAAAATAAATTAAAAGTGAAATGACATCAGTTTGGGTTCTGATTTTTTTTTTTTGCTCTTTTAGCACTTAAACTATGATATATAAACAGTGCTCATGTTCAACTCAAAGCTTACCTGTTTCTTCACAGCAGGTCCTAAATTGAGCTTTTTATTACGAAAAAATAAAGTTCCCTGCAAAACAGAAGTAATCAATTGCTTTTAAAATTTAAGAAAGTAGCCTCCGTCCTCTTTTCCATTTAACCTTTTCACTCACAAGATCTCATAGATGAATCTCCTTATTATCTACCACAGAAGTTTTACAATGTTTGTTTTGAGAATATGTTATTGGGTCAACTGATATTTACCTAGTTGACATATTTCTTTAATCACATAACTTGTCTGCTTGATTTTGAATATTTTACACAAGGAGAATACTGCCCTTGTCACTCATGGGAGTCAACTCTAACTTTCAACATCTGATTGTTAATTCTTCCCTCAGGATATTAAACATTTCCTTGTAAATTAGATATAAGAATTTGGTGTTGGATCAATATAAACTTCTACCTGATCTATTTGAGTATTCTCGTCACCTGTTTGCTGGATAATGTACAAATATCAAAGAGAGAAGTTACATATTAGTCACTTCTAGGTTTTGAAAGGTTTTAAGGTTAAAAAAGCAAAACAATTTGACTTCCTTTTGTTAGGTTGTCAGCAACTGATTATTTTTCAGCCTTTTCCTCTAACTTTGCATGATTTACATACTTAATGTGATGGATTTAAAATGCATAAGCCAGGGCACAAAGCATAATCAAGATAAATAGGGAGTCCATGCAAAGTATCAGAACAGTTTGAATTCCTTTTGTTAGGTTGTTAGCAATGAATTCTTTTTCAGTCTTTTCCCTCTAACTTTGCACAATGTATGTGCTCATTGATTAGGTGGGAGGTGGAATGGGAAAATAATTGGCTTGAGGTTGTAGAGGCATGAACCAGACACAGTAAGGTCCATGTGTCATGTCAGACCCATATAATCTTGTCTGCCTTGACCAAACTCAGTCAAAGAGTTTTTTTTTAAATTGTTTTTTTTAATTCAATCATGACCCCCATCTCTCAAAGCATTGTTATGTAAGGCTTAAATCTAAACAGGTTGCAAATAAATTCTTATAAAAAGGGATGAGCTGGACGATTACGTAACCATTACAAAACAATAGTTTCTTATTCAAGTCTCGCAGGTACAGTATGGAACTACAAATGCAGTGCAAAATGTGACAATATTATCTTGTTTCTTTTTCCCTTCTCAGCTTCAGACAACAACAGGTATTCATGATCTTGGAAAACGCACCAGTGAAGAGTGAGTGCAGGGCTGGACAGTTTTATCCAGAATGGCCTATGTCAACCAATAGGTCATGCAAGCGTCATCTTTCTCTTTGTGGTTTCATATAGCATTGCGTGCAGATGCTGTGCACTTTGTGTCTTAAATAGTAACCATGCTACGGTTGAATTTCAATATATTTCAAACAATGATTCAGAAATAACTTTTGGTTTAAGTGAGTTTCAGGTAATTTGGTCAAATTAAACATTGCGTGAGTCAAGCTTTGCAGGTCACATCCCAAATAGTATTATGTTGTGGTTTAGGTTCTAAATAAGAATTACTCAGAAATAACTTTTGGTTTGGGACAGCTCTTTAGCACTGGAGTTTGGGAAATTTACACTGTCCTGACTCGACACAATGGGCGCCAGCTGGTCAAAGGTCATTGTGGTTGAAAAAAAGTTCCTTTCACTAAGATTCAATTTTCTCTGCTTAGCACCTGACCAACTTAAACTGAGTCAGACACAATAAACGAGGACCTTTTCATAATATATTCCTGAACATTTACAAAGGTGTCCCGAAAATATTCCCATCCTTGTGAAGAATTGAAACAAACACATCTACCACCACAATTGAAGATTTAAGCCAATAAACAGGTATTCATATGAAATGTCTTGCATTCTCATTAATCACATTGATTAAAAGCTATATTTTCTTTAAAAATGTATACACAAGAAGGCAAATGTTAAAAACCAGACATGAGAAATTGCTCTTCAAAACAAACTGGTTTGAAACTAGGGTTTTCTAGCTCCACCTCTGGCTAGCTAGGCACGCACATTCTTGCTGTCTTTGGAAACAATCACTCTAAAATATCTTACCATCTCTGTAACATTATGAACATCTTTTTCTGAGGCAAAAGTGACAAATCCATATCTGTCAGGCAATAAGGAAGAACAAATTTGACCATTACCATCATGCATCAAAAGAATTTATGATCTGTTCTGAAAATATTTCACAACCCTGTAATTCATTATTAGACTAAGGGCTTGAAAGCCAAGGTCCTCTATGAAAATCTCACTTTTCCTTGGCACATCTAGAGATGTAAGAACAGTTCACAATTAACCCAAAAAACTCTCACAAACAAGATTTAAAACTTTTGTTCTCATTGTGCATATCTAATAGAAAACAGATTTCTTACAATTGAACCAAGCAATAAAAAACTCACCCTTTGGAAACATTGTTTTCATCAAAGATAATTTTGGTCTCTATGACATGTCCAAAATTGGAAAAATAATTGGCCAATTCATGAGCAGTAGTCTGCAAAATAACATCACAAAAATATTAATTAAATGTGATGATTACACAACACCAAACCATGCCTTAGGAAGAACCAAGTTATTTGACCTTCATATATAAAAGCAGGCCAATCAGTTGATTAAGTTTGCCATAAAAAGCAGCACAATCTCTGTGTACATCACAAATTACCACAAATTTGAGTACGGTTAATTTAGCAGATTTACCTGCCTTTTGTAACCAATTTAAAAGAAAAAACACGTTATCGTGTTTAGTTAAGCAGCTTGTTGCCTAGGTTAAAAGCGATTAAGAAGTGCGACCCATACAGTACATTAAAATGGGCATCATCCCAGGTGTAGTATCAGGTTTATTGTTACTGAGAACCCTCACTGTCAGAGTTTTATCAAATTAAATACTCTGATGTTAATAAGATTTTGCCCCACCCCTACCCCTCCCCCCCCCATCTCTGGGAGCTGACACCCAAACGCTTTTACAAGCTTAGTTAAGGACAGTTTAAAAAAAATTAAGCCAGACCTTAAAAAAAAAAAAAAAAAGAAAGAAACTGCACTCTCAAAAACCCATCTTTACTACTGAAAACAATAACTATCCACATAAACCGAGATTTCCGCCAGATCAGAATGATTAATTAAAAACAAGCGTGTTAAAATTCGCGCGCCTCCCAATTGAATAATTAATTCAATAAGGCTAACAAATATAACATGCTGGTGTCTGGCTGTGCCGAGCTCGCTGGAAAACTCGGAAGTTTAACGCTGTAAAACATAGAAATTGACGATTTAATTGAAACACGGATCAAAATTACAGTCGTGACACAAAAGAGATAAAGATGAAGATAAAAACTCCAAAGCTTTCTATAAGATAAATCGAGAAAAATTGCACACTCCACATTTTAATGTGGATTGTTGAAAATTAAACAAACACATTGACAAATTCCGCTACTATACACAAACTTGCACTATTTTTTTCCCTCTTAATTTTTTTTCCTCTCCTTTACAGTCGTAATTTCCTTTATATCAAAAGTTCATGGCGTAAAACGAGAAAAACAAATAACAGGCTATTGTGGCCGGATAACCATACCAAGCGAGTCACGTTCGCAAAATAATCGTTGCATTTGCGCGTTTGTAGAAAGCACCGTCGGTGAAGCAATATGACTGAAAATAGGCATAATCATGACAGGACTCTGAGTAACTTTTAAAAGGTCGATCTACTCTAACATAGTGTGGAAACACAATTGTTTTTCTAACTCAAGGGGCCTTCCCGCGGTTTATTTGGACTACACGGTAAACACCCGTAGAATGGTTGATCAAATGAACTTAGTCTTCCCCAATAATTTTTTAAAAACACTCATTTAGGATCAGTGTTGTTAGAGGATAAAATCAGTAAGAAAAACAGCTTACATTCACTGGTAATCCTCCGACAAACAATCGGTTGCGGAAACGTTTTCCGAAGAGATAGGTCGAAGAATTCTCCTGGAAGACAATATCAGAGAATCTGCGGGTTATTCACGCACAATTATGTAACAAACTGTTATAATTCCACTATTTAGTTTCGATTTTTTGCCGATCTTTTCAATTAACCTAAAAGCTTAAAGAAAAACGGCAGTTGATCAAAAACAGAATTTTCTGAACTTGCAACAAAATATGAATTGCCAATTAATGGATTTGAGTAATTACTGTATGCAAGAAGGGTGTTTTAAGTCCAATCTGAAAAACCTCCTACATGCAGATTTTTAACCGCAGATTCTCAGTAGAAATGTTGAGATATTCAAAGGTTGTACAAGATATTGTGTTCTTACCATTGCTGAATAGAAGTTGAACGAAGGAGAGGCATCGTACTCCACTGTCCTGCAAGTGCACGTGGGAAATGAACTTACCGCAAATGTCAGTTATTTTATACCCCAGCTGGGGTACACGTCATTAATTACCTAATTTCACGCATGTTACGAAAACACGGGGACAAAGTCAACAACAATTGACATTTTCCCAGCGGAACAAACAGCTCGACCGATCGAACAATACGATTCAAAATTGGACAAACAAAGGTGTGAGCTAAATAGTAAGCAGTTCTCACCACACCAGTTTTTTTCTTTTTTCCAGGAAGAATACGACCATCTTTTAGACGGAAGTACGAGTGCTGGAGTTTCAAAGTGGGTGGTTTTACTGGAAAGTGAGCACATGGTTTCGATTTGATAAATCAGTGATGACGGCTTGAAGCTGTTACTTTCAAGACGTGCAACTATCGCCAAATCACAGCTTCTATAGATTAAATAGACCGCTTTACTAATTTGACAGCAAAAACCAAAACATTGACCAGAATAAACGGCGTAAGAAAAAAAATGATAAGTTAATTATCGAGATTCTACCATGTCAAGGATACGATGTTTATATCATTCATCATATTAAAATAATTGCTTAAGGAAACGTGTCATTTTAAGGTCAAATTCTGGACCCAAAATGCTAAAGATAGGTGCAAAAAGGGGACACTTTTTTTTATAAAATATTGTGGGATGCTTTGTTTTGAAAGCTTTTGAATGAATTGACATTTTCACTCCAGTCTATCAAGCGCGTTAAGGAACTGTAAACAAAGATTTACTATCCCATCTATCAAGACTATCAAATAAAATAGTTGTCTTGGGGTATTATTTTTCCCACGCCAGAAGTGTGATATTGAATTCTTCCGGCCCAATTTGAATGTTTACTGGGCGGAGAAGCTTCATTGAGAAATAAGTAGAAGGCTATTTCAGAAAAGAAGTGAACTCAACCGCAAACTGCGGCTGTTTGTAGCAAACACCATTGATCCGCAAATGAATCCCCTCAGGAGTTTTATTTCACAAGTACGAACAGGAAAAATTAAGTTTTTTGAGAGCAGCTTAATCTTGACAATAGCGTCTAATTAGTTGAAATGTATCACTTTCTACTCACGATTCACGAAGAAGAACGAATTTTTCTTTATTTATTCTCCGACTGACAAATATGGCATGAACGATGCGCCGAAATTGCTCGCTTGAGAAGGAAGACGCAGTATTTCCGGTCGCCGCTGCTCTAAGCGCAAGAAGGGCTATTAACTTGTAGCTACTGCGAAGTTGATGAAAACTTAGAGAGTTCATAACCGTTTTAGAACGCTAAGCCCCCGCTCTCTACATTTTATAGCATTTTCTAGGAAATCCGAACTTCATCTCGTTATCACAAACAATTCAACCGTCCGTAGATGTTTGAGAGAAAAAAATTAATTAAATAAAATACAATCGGTAGCATCGTTCGAACAATACATTCTCACTTGTGTCGTCTTGCAGTTCACGACTATCTTGTTATCAAGATCGCCTTTCGGGGCGGCTATTCCACACAACACCTCTACCTTTTTAGTCTCCTAAAACAAACACTGATGATCTTATCTTCTTGCAAGATTAAAATCTGATAATCTTTGACATAACACAGTGCTGGGGAGAAATTTTCAAAATTGCTTCGGGCAGCTGCTCTCCCCTTGCTAATGCCTCACGCAACGGAAATTTATGTCTACTATTCACAAGAAATCACAATGAAGATCTCTCGTGACAGGCTTGATGACCCCAAAAAGGGGCGTAAGACATTTTTTACCATCTGCACGAAAGCTGTGATTAATTTTAGCGCGAGCCAGTTAACTTTGGTCTAGCCTGGGGCGTTCTGCCTTCGATTTCACTAAGACGCACGAAGGCCTTTTCTTCGGTACCTTAAGACCAAGACTTGAAATAGGTCAATGAGGTCTGTCGCGATCTAAAAATGTTCTGGCTGGATTTCCTCAACGCGTGGCTTATGAGAGAACTTAGCTCGATCGCCATTACCACACAGAATTTTAACCCTTTCCACCCTGGCATCAGTATACATATTCTCCATAATGTTTCCATACATTTCTTTAAGAGCTGACGAGGAGAATTTGTGTAACAATCAAGAGTGTCCTTTACAGGTAATCATGTCCTTTATTCTCGTGATTTTAATGTGTGATTCAGGGGTAATGCTGTGAGGTGAAATTAGAAGATATTCTCAGCGTTAAGAAGCTTTTTTGCTCCTTTTCTGGCACGCGCAAGTGGGCGCAGTTTTAGCACTTTTCATCGTTCAAATTTTGCGATAAATGAAATCGACGCCTCTCAATTCCTCAATCATACCAGTTCATCACCAAAACCGACGTCTCTGGTCGAAAACACATACGGTGATAGGAAAAATTTCTTGCTTCTTCCTGTCAACTATTTGACCATCCCCATCCGTTTTTTGAGTCCCTCTTGCATTATACCGTCCACTTGGTTGCGTTGATCCTGATCCAGTCCTAATTAATGTGAAAGAGGATATTTCCGGCTAGATTGTCAAGAGTCTTTCCTTGTCGTCGACCGCAGTCCTGTCAAGATTATCCGCACTCGGACGATCAGACTACCCGATTAACAAGGTAATGATGTATTTCCGTTCAATGTAGGATTGATCACATTTCGTCGAATAATCACCGTAGGACGAATCATCATCCTATTTTCTCGATTTTATATGCTAGAATTCACATTAAGAGATGGAATGCGAAATGTTCCTTTTTTTTTCATCCAATTTGAACTCTCGTAGTGTAACTCCAAATGTCTCAAAACCCCCAAAATCCAGATTTCAAATTAAAAATTCGCGTTCCTTCAAACGTTTAACACGACCTATGTGGCCAAATGCCAAGGTCTTCCCTGTCTCCTAAAATAGTCCTAAGAACGAACAGTGAACCATTAGGAATCGATAACCCATTTTTAATATCTCTTGTAGGAAATTGCGAACCCGCAGCAAAACTGAAATAAGGGTAGATGTCATGCACAGAAATTCCTAGAAAGGAAATCCATTGGGAAGCGTTAGAGCTGGTAGAGTTTTCCCGGAAATATTTGGGTATGTTGTTTATTGACTCCTCGGCCGTCACATACTGTGGAAAAGAACAAAGGAGGATCCAGTTTCCTATCGTACTTGTTCGTGCCTGCGTCGAATCCGCAAATTACTATTCCGATGAAAATTAGCCTTAAAAATAAAACGCCAAATGAAAGTGTCGTCCCCCGCATGTTGGGCCTAAAGAAAACCCTGACAGACTTTGGAAGTACTTTCAGAGTTTGGTATACGAGCGAGACGCCGGAATTTTCAGAAAACTAAATGCATTGAAAGTTACTCGGTATTCCATAGGTACCGCGTCGCTTCACAGAAGTGTGCAGTTCCGAGTGTTTTAGCGGAAGGTGCTGCAAAGGGTCCGGTCTTATACCGCCTATTGTTTAAAATTAAGCGGTGCTTGTTTGAGCTTCACAAAGCTTCGACGGGCCGCTTCACCAACTACCTTGAACAGAGCGTGGGAAATACAGTCCGATGGATTAAAATAATTACAATGAAATAGCAGTAATCATAATAGTAATCCATTGTATTAATAGTGGAATATCTCAAAGATGCAGCATAATGAGCTGATCTCAGTGCCATTATGAGTACCGCTTCCACGATGCTCGGCTGGCGAGCAAAGTGAGCCTGCAAGAGCCCGCGGTATGGGTCCAGCAATGTCCAATACAAAAAGTACTGCTTTTGCCGAATCTTTTCCTGACCTCGCTGTTCGTCGCACGTGGCGCGGTACGGATGAGAGTCTGTTTGCAGGCCATGATTTTTCAAATGTTCTGTTTCACAAGTTTGGGGGGAAATAATTTTTACCACAATTGACAGTAATGTCGCAATCTGATCGGCCACTGATTTGTCGTTGTCGTTAAGAGCACAGACAAAGTTTCTTGTTTCAACATGTCACACAATGGTCACGCACTGAAAGGATTGTTTTATTTGACGTCGATATATTGTAATTCAAAACAAATCGATGGTGGTTTAACGTGGTCTGTACTCTTGTCGGCAACGATTATCGTCATCACAGAGGTCAAAATGTTGCGGACTCACGAGGAGCTGCCACTGCCGATTTTTTACTACTTTTTCACCCACGGAACACTAAAGGGAGTGTATTAGCCTTATCTTTCTGAGTTTATTGATATCTCCTGCCGCACAAAGCCAGTCATGTTTTTGAGGAGGCGAATCAAAAAGCAAACAAATAAAAAACACTTAGAAAGGAGAAACAATACTTAGATTGATTATTTAAGCCGATTTTGCAGTGGTCATTCTCTAGTGTAACAATGAGGTTGTTCCTAAACTTTTCCGCTGGAATGAAGCATGTTGCTTCGTCTGATGCGATGCGCGAAGTTCCGATCAGCTTAATGGATACCACAAGCCCTTGATTTGACAAGGTAGAAAAAACGCCATAATGGTAAGAGGTTGACGCATAATATTTGGACCTTCAAACTTAAAGGATTTTTGGCATGTGCTAAAACACAGACGATGGATTCGGAAAAATAGAAGATGGACGATGCCCATTGCTAAGGATTTAGGTCAAACTTTTCAGTACGCTAGTTCCTCAAGAGACCGCCAATTGAAAAGTATGCGAGGAGCTTAAGTGCGATTTTACTCTTGTGCGTCACGCTTCCGGTTGCATTCACGCGAGACCCTCTCAAGGATGGTCCGATATACGCAAGACCTGTAAGAACTCTTCACAGTTAGGTCCATCACAGCTGTGTCACGCCAAAAGGAAATCTGAAAGCGAAAAGTTAAGAAAATGGATGCCATTTTTCTTCTTCTTTGCTTACTTTTAAATTCATCGTGTCGCTTGATTTGCGGAATAGAGAGACTTCCATCGAATGAGGCTTTAGTGAAATCTACACATGTCACATCAACGATAAATTGCGGGCCACCGAAACCATTTCAGAATAATACAGAACTAAAATGGCGCCCTGGTGCTCGGAATCAAAGTGTATTTTTACCGGGAGAGAAGGCTGTATTTGTTTGTAAGAAAGGATTTCGCCAGATT